TTTGTGTGGGAGCCCCGTCAAAAACATGTCAGTTATGCCAGCAGTGTCTAAGAGTCCTTTTTTCTTTTCATACCGCGCCCCCAATTATTACAATAATACAGCCTTGAGGCGACTGTTGCTGTGATTTGGTGCTTTATAAATAAATTTAATTGAATGTATGAGAGTTATGTTTTTAATTTTCAAGGACGTCCTTGAAAATTCCTTTTCGCCTTGTATACAGCAGACTTTAAGTACAATCCTGCCACATCCAGAAATACTTGGATGACACTGTTATTGAAGTGTGTGTTAGAAATGGACAGGAATCTGAAAATAGGGATCTTCTAAAAGTTTTCAGCCACCAGTCTTCCCAGAGATGCCTCTTCACACACTGATGCACCATCCTGGAGTATTTTATCCTTTGTTTTACCGACTTTTGAAATCTTTGGACTTGTCCTGCACTTTGGGTTCTCTCACTTTCACACCTAATACAAATTATTTGTGACAGTATTGTTGTAATTTTTATTAAAAACTGGAAAACAAAGCATTTTAACTTTTGGTCTTTTCCCCTGTGGTATCAAAGAGTTTGACTCATCTTTGCCCAAAAGTGGAATCAAAGCACTTAACATCCAGGTTTTTGGTTAATAGTTAATCAAGCTTGATTCTAATCAAAGTATAGTCATGAATAAACGGATCAATATGATGAATAATACCATGCAGTTTGAGTTATGATGTGTTCTTGGCTCTCTGTGTGTGCGAGTAAAAGACAGATGTGAGACTCTGTGACTTTAACGTGTATGATTTTAAAAGGAAATAATACAGAGTGCACTGTGATTGTGAAAGTGTTCCTGTGTAACTGAGACGTCAGGCTGGAATTATGAAGACGCATGATATTCATGTGTGACTGAGCTGCAGCGTGCAAATGTATATGCAGCATACATACAGGAAAATGTGTTGTTGTGTTGAAATGAGTATAATGGCTGAATTTTGCTCCAGTTGATCTGTGTGAAGATCAGAGCAGGAACGACAGAGTGGCTCAACATCGGGCCGTGTGAGTGTCACACAGGGTGACGCTGGTGCTGAGGAGGGGAGGCAGAAAGAACTAAAAACTAACCAACTAGTCTAAACTAAGAAACACTCAGATATTGAGTTAAATGTAAGAACCATTTAATGGACAATGTCAAAAACGAATGAAGGCATTTCAAACCATGAATCGCATTCTTCAGTGATGAATGATGCTGCTTAACTGTGCAGCCGTTCAATATGGCATGTTACTACAGAAGATGCTCACGTATTACTAAAGTACAACAAAATAACAAAATCATTTAAATAATTTAAAAAAAAGAATAAATCACAACTGAAAAGTGTGGTGCACTGTGCATTATGTCGTGGAAAATTCATGACAACCACTTCAATAAAAGCTAAACAACAACACAAGAAATAATCCAGACATTTTCTTCTGCTTATCTGAAGTCAGGTCGCTGAGGCAACAGCCTAAGAAGACCTCCCTCTTACTCCAAACACTGAGCTGTTACCAGCACATCTGTCCAGCATGTCCTGGGTCTACACTGGGGGCTCCTCCCAGTAGGACATGCCCAGCTGGAATAGCTTACAACTGAGCTCCTCACCCTAACACTAAAGGAGAGTCCCTCAGAGAAAGATCAGTTTCTTTGTATCTGTGGTCATATTCCCATAGATCAGGCTTAGCCTCGGCCATTAATGACTGACATATGAAATGATCTCATATCATGGAGTTGTGGGGCAATTTGAAACTCACCTTCTACATATGTGGGAAAGGACGCAAGGCTTCTCCTGGACTGTAAATGAAAAGACAAAAGTATGTTAATTGTTAACTGTGTGAGTTGACTACTGAACGAGTAATCCAGTGTTGACCTCACCTCTTTACTGGTGGGAGAGGTTTCAAAGCTGTCGTGCTGTAGCAGGTGCTGACTGGAGGACTCTGCTCCTGGTGGAGAAGGTGACGCTGAACCAGGCGACTGCAAAAGAGAATGAAAACAAGCACAATAACAAACACATTTTAATGCAGATCTGTGATTTCTTACTACGTAGAACAACATTCAATTCAGTCTTATTTAGAGTGCTAACTTTACATCGTAAGGTAAAGAGCCTACAGTTTAATAAAGAAATCTGACCAGTCACACAACCCCTATGAGCAAGAATTTGGAAGTGGGAAAGAAAAACTCCCTTTTAAGATAAGATAAGATAACCTTTATTAGTCCCACATGTAGGGATGGGTACCGGTATCGTCCT